AATTCAGCCAAGTTCTTTGCCACTTCTTAACAAGAATTGTTTCTCCAGTTTCCAATACTATATTCCTCATTTATCTGAGGTCTCTTACCAGAGTGGTCTTTAGCATTCATATTCCTAACCATCATTCTGCTCATAATATATTTTTTAAGACAAGAGACTTTTTCTGTAGCTCTCATCTTTCTGAGGTATTAACCAGAATTGCCTTTGATGTCCACATTTCTTCCAACAGCCCCTTCACAGCAATCTTAGGCCTCTTCTAGCATGCACCTCAGAAGTCTACCAGCCTTACCCATTACCCTCTGTCCAATACTTCCGTATTTTTAGGTCTGTTATTGTAGTACCCCACTTCTCAATATCAAATTCTGTATTGGCTTGGGCTGCCATAACAGATACTATAGACTGGGTGGCTTAACAGAAATTTATTTTCTCACAGTTCTGGAGGCTGGAAAGCCACAAGATCAGGGGTTTGGTTTCTGTTGAGGAATCTTAGCTCTCAAATGGCTGCCTTCTCTCTGGATCCTCACATGGCCTTATGTGTGCTTTCGGGGAGGTAGAGGTGGGAGTGCAAGCTCTCTGCTGTTTCTTTTATGGACGTGAGTCCTATCTGCCCCACCCTTATAATAGCATCATTTAACAGTACAGTAGACCCTTGAACAATTCTGGGGGTTAGGACACCAACCCCTCTGTGCAGACAAAATTCCATGAATAACTTTTGACTCCCCAGAAACTTAACTACTAAGAGCCTACCGTTGACCAGAAGCCTTACCTGTAACATAAGTTGATTAATACATATTTTATATGATACATGGTTGTGTACTGTATTCTTAAAGTAAGCTAAAGAAAATGTTTTCAGGTTGTTGCAGATCTCCACAAATTTTTCCACTATATTTACTGAAAAAGCCCATATATAAGTGAACCCTCAGAATTCAAACCTGTGTTGTTCAAGGGTTAGTGATAATTCTTAACTCCAAATGCAGCCACACTGGGGTTTAGAAGTTCAACATGAATTTTGAGAGTGAACCCTTAGTCCATAACAGATTGTAAATACAATGTAAAATATTCATATTCTCCTATATACTTTATCTTCATCAGTGACAATCTTCATCAATGGCATTGACTTCACCTTAGGACCAAGCAGACATCTAGACATCATCATAGATGCTTTTTTTCTTTCTTGTTCCATAGCTAATTATACACTGAATCCTGTTCAGTTAATTTAATATCTCTGAAATCTGCCTTACCTCTCTTTGGAGTTTAGGCCCTCATCTGTTTGTTCTCTGAACTGATGTGATAGCTTCTCAACCAGCCTTTATGTTATGTACATGGCCTTTTTCAGATCTTTTTAACATGTTAACATGTGTTAATATGAATAATATGTTAATATAGTGTGAATGTAAATATGATTGTTACTTCTTCATTTAAACTTAGGAATAGCTTATGGGTCCTTCCATATACTTGCACCTGATACCTTTGTCAGGATTAAGTTTGGATGAATATTAAACAAAAAATAACTTAAATACAGTATAGGGGTTTATTTTTCTTACACATCTGGAGATATGATATCCGGAAATTGTTTGACAAATCCATGGTCATCTAAGCCTCTTCTGTTTCTTTGACCTCACCATCTTTAGTGTATGGCTTATAATTTCAAGTTCATTCACAGTGTAAAGTGGCTGCTGGAGAGGCAGCCATTCCTTCTGAGGTCCAGGTAGGAAGAAGAGAGAAAAGCAGAAGGACATTCTAGCTATCTGGAGTTTTTAAGGAGTCTTCCTGGAGGTCCTTCCTAGCAATTTTGATTACATTTCACTGACCATTTCTCATTGCAAGAGAAACTGGAAAGTACAGTTTTTTTTTATCTAGGAACATTAACACCTTGAATAAGGTTAGGATTTTGTTTATCTGCCAGTTATCATTCCAGCCTCATTTCTTAGAGCTCTGCTTCTTGTACCCTATATTCCATTTATATCAGACTACTCACAGTTCCCTGATTATTCATGCTACTTCATTCTTTCATATGTGTTTTCTTTGCACAAAATACCCTTCTGCCCTTTTTGGCCAGGTGAACCCCACTTTTCAAGGATCAACACCTCTTGGAAGCCTTTCTTAATCACCAGCTCAGAATTAATCATTCCTTATTTGGGGATTCCAATTTAATACCTCCACTTTAACATTTCCTATCTGATATTGCAATTATTTTGGTTGAGTAGTATCTTCTCTACTAAATTTTGAAGTATCAGAATGTGGGGACTATGGCTTATTTATCTTGACTGTGCCTGACACATAGTAGACACTTAACAAATGATGTGTTGCAAAAAATCAGCTAAGTGTATAACTTAAAAATAAGAGGAATATTATTTTTATAGGCCACATGCAATCAGGAACTGCCTCTAGGAACTATTGATAATGAATATGTAGGGTATATAGACTGTAACATTAAAATGATAGAGAAAGTTCTGAAATTCTGGGTGAATGATTTGAAGATACTTACTGCTTAAGACAGTTAAACAGAATTAGTCCTGACAGCTCTGCTGTATGAATAAATTTTTTAAATGGATTTTTTTTTGGGCAGATTATATTTACCCATCCTCTTAAAAATAAATGTATGACAAAGCAGTTACAACTCTTAACTAGCTTTGTTTCATCTTTGATTTTCTTTCCCAGGGACAGTATGTCCATTGCCTTGTTAAGTTGTACTTCATTATAGAAGTCAAGTTGACTGTGGGAAAAGAGAAAACTTTCATTTAAACTTTTAGGAAGAAAGGCTCTAGTTAGACCCTAGAGCTTCAGATCAGGAAGTCACTCAAAGCTAGCCTAATTTTTTTTTATCCTTTTACCTTGAGGTGTATTCTTCCTTTCTGTTCTTTCTTTCTTTTTAGTGTTCGTTAGATCTTAGAAGTTCTTTGTGAAGAAATAGATCACAAAGAAGTAGAAATCTCCTCTCCTCCACTCTTGTTTTCTAAGGCAAGGTCACTCCGAATTTCTGAAATGGTGCTCTTAGATGTAGTACAGATAGGAATCTGATCTCTCTCAGTTGGGTAGCAGGCCACTTGGTTTTGTTCTGTGTCTTCTCTTTGTTGATTCTGTGCCTTTTCTAAGATGTTATGTTGGAAGTTTTAGTTTCTAGTTTAGCTCTACCTTTGACTGGAGGTGATCCTGTGTAATGGTTTAGTATTTCCAAAGGAGAATGGTATGGTTGACTGTTTTTAGGGCCAACTTTTGTAGTAGTACTTCTTTTCTAAGTACCATTTTTTTTTAGTATTTACATGTCTAACTTGCAGAGATTTGTAAATATTTAAAAGATAGAGAATTCTTCAGGTGTCTATGGAAAAAAAGGCAGTGCACATGTAACACTTAGTATCCATGTGCATGGCAGATTATTTTTTCTCAAAAAGTGACTGTGAGTATCTTATCTCACATGTTGCATACAGTATGACTGATGCTTCTCCCATGAGGAGTGGAATTTATGGTTGCTCCTCTTGAATCAGGGCAGGCTTGTGACATAGCAGCAATAGCAGTCTTGTTATTTCAGCTTTTTATTAGGGATACCAGTGAAATACATGTTGATTTCCTTTGCCTCTTTGTCTAATATTTTTCTCTCTAATCTTCCTCTTTTTTAAACCTTGTTAATGTTCTTACTCTCTTTTCCTCTCTTTTCTCAATTCTGTCCTCTTTCTCTTTCCTGAATAATTTTTGGTTTGGCTAGAAGGCGTTTTGGTAAATATTTTTCTACAATGCTAGAGATCTCAAACTGAGGCCCAGTGGCCCCTCTTTTCTGTTATCAGAAAATGAAATGAGGAGGCGTGAGTTTGTATGGGGCCTGATATATGTCTTTCTAGGATTTCTTTTTTAAAATGTAAACTTTTTCAGTGTGGAATATATTGTGTCTATATGAATACTGAGCACTTAATAAAACTCATATTGGATTTAGTTTTTCGGTAGCCTCTAGATTTGAATTTACAATTTAAAAATTTTACACCTTATTTTACTTTCACACTCTCACCAGAATAACTCCTGAGAAAGTAAAAACTCATTAGCATACTTACCACCCTGGGTATTCTTTCCGCTTCTCTTTCCTACTTTTCATTCGTGTAATACCCCCACCATGCATTCCAGCCTCTCAAACTGTCCTCCAAGCATTCCTAACATTAACTGACCTCTGTGCCATTGCTTACCATCTTCTGATACTTGACTTGTTCTTCATATCTCTCTGTCTTGTACTCATTATTGATTTTCTAGCATAAGAACTGCTCTGTTTTTATGAAGCTTTCCTAGATTCCTCCCCTGTAATATCTTCTGTATTCCCATAGCCACTTGCTTATATCCTGAAGACTATTTATTGCATTCTACTTTGTGTTATTATTATGCTTATTATGCGTTAATTTATTTAACAAACATTTGAATCCCTGGGCCCTACTTCTAGAGACCCTGATGTATTCGTTTGAGGTAGAGCTTGGGCATCAGTATTGTTTAAATGCTCCTCAACTGATTCCAGGGTTAAGCCCTAGTGGAATAAAGATAAAAACCTGTGCCTGGCCTGTAATGAACACTCAAATAAATATTTGTTGACAGATTTAAAAATTTTAGAACCAAAGTCCATATTTTATCTTTATATCCCCACCCAGTAGCCCCCAAAGTCTTAACTCATTTCAGCATCAACTCTGAAGTCCATAGTCTCATCTAAATATTTAATTCCAGGTCTGGATGAGTCTGGAGATAGATTCATCCTGAGGCAGAATTCTTCGCCAGCCTTGAACCTGTGAAACTAAATAAATTCTGTGCTTCTGAAGGCAGTGGTGGGACAGAAAGCAATAGACATTCTCATTCCAAAAGGAGAAAAATGAGAAAGAAGAAAGACGTGACAAGTCCCAAGAAAGTCCAAAATTAGCAAGACAAAGTCCATTAGATGTTAGGGCTCAAGAATAATCCTCTTTGGTTGATACACTGCTCTCCAAGCCCAGTGGGGAGGCAGCACTCCTATGGCTCTGTGGGGGCAGACTGCCCTGAGGCACTGGGCCATGGATGAGCTTGCTCTAGTGGCTCTGGGTGCCAGCATCCTGGTTCCCCAACCCCAGACCAAGGACGCCTCACCTATTGAAGCTGAGGAGCCAGCCCTGTCCTCTGGACCTGTGATGGGAGAGGCAATCCTGCCATTTCTGAATCACCTGTGGGGTCAGTTTTCCCTTTCCTTGAAGGATAAATGCATGTTTGTAGCTGGATAACTATTGTCCCATCCTGTAGAATCGCAGAAGTCTGACAGCGTTCCTTCATTCTGTCACATTTTTTTCTGTTGTCTTCAATCCCAGCTAGCAGTGTGTCTGCTGGTACAGTCCTATCTTTATTTCTGGCTTCTACTGAGGTGCTTGATGAAATTTGTGGTTTGCATCCATATTAATCTCTTTATTAAATAGTTGTTCAGAAACACCATTAGTGTTCTTTTTAGAAGAAGCTTTACCATTTTTTGCAGAATGGATAGACTGAGAATTTTGCAGATCTTTAAGTTATAGGTCCTTTTTGCTTAATAATTCCTTCAATTTATGTTTCCTCTGAAATTTTACTAAAAGTTTTCAGGAGAAAAGAAGTCTCCTACACTTTGCTTAGATATCTCCTCAACTAAATACCCAATTTCATCACTTGTAAGTTCTATCTTCTACAAAATACTAGAACTTGAACATAATTCAGCCAAGTTCTTTGCCACTTCTTAACAAGAATTGTTTCTCCAGTTTCCAATACTATATTCCTCATTTATCTGAGGTCTCTTACCAGAGTGGTCTTTAGCATTCATATTCCTAACCATCATTCTGCTCATAATATATTTTTTAAGACAAGAGACTTTTTCTGTAGCTCTCATCTTTCTGAGGTATTAACCAGAATTGCCTTTGATGTCCACATTTCTTCCAACAGCCCCTTCACAGCAATCTTAGGCCTCTTCTAGCATGCACCTCAGAAGTCTACCAGCCTTACCCATTACCCTCTGTCCAATACTTCCGTATTTTTAGGTCTGTTATTGTAGTACCCCACTTCTCAATATCAAATTCTGTATTGGCTTGGGCTGCCATAACAGATACTATAGACTGGGTGGCTTAACAGAAATTTATTTTCTCACAGTTCTGGAGGCTGGAAAGCCACAAGATCAGGGGTTTGGTTTCTGTTGAGGAATCTTAGCTCTCAAATGGCTGCCTTCTCTCTGGATCCTCACATGGCCTTATGTGTGCTTTCGGGGAGGTAGAGGTGGGAGTGCAAGCTCTCTGCTGTTTCTTTTATGGACGTGAGTCCTATCTGCCCCACCCTTATAATAGCATCATTTAACAGTACAGTAGACCCTTGAACAATTCTGGGGGTTAGGACACCAACCCCTCTGTGCAGACAAAATTCCATGAATAACTTTTGACTCCCCAGAAACTTAACTACTAAGAGCCTACCGTTGACCAGAAGCCTTACCTGTAACATAAGTTGATTAATACATATTTTATATGATACATGGTTGTGTACTGTATTCTTAAAGTAAGCTAAAGAAAATGTTTTCAGGTTGTTGCAGATCTCCACAAATTTTTCCACTATATTTACTGAAAAAGCCCATATATAAGTGAACCCTCAGAATTCAAACCTGTGTTGTTCAAGGGTTAGTGATAATTCTTAACTCCAAATGCAGCCACACTGGGGTTTAGAAGTTCAACATGAATTTTGAGAGTGAACCCTTAGTCCATAACAGATTGTAAATACAATGTAAAATATTCATATTCTCCTATATACTTTATCTTCATCAGTGACAATCTTCATCAATGGCATTGACTTCACCTTAGGACCAAGCAGACATCTAGACATCATCATAGATGCTTTTTTTCTTTCTTGTTCCATAGCTAATTATACACTGAATCCTGTTCAGTTAATTTAATATCTCTGAAATCTGCCTTACCTCTCTTTGGAGTTTAGGCCCTCATCTGTTTGTTCTCTGAACTGATGTGATAGCTTCTCAACCAGCCTTTATGTTATGTACATGGCCTTTTTCAGATCTTTTTAACATGTTAACATGTGTTAATATGAATAATATGTTAATATAGTGTGAATGTAAATATGATTGTTACTTCTTCATTTAAACTTAGGAATAGCTTATGGGTCCTTCCATATACTTGCACCTGATACCTTTGTCAGGATTAAGTTTGGATGAATATTAAACAAAAAATAACTTAAATACAGTATAGGGGTTTATTTTTCTTACACATCTGGAGATATGATATCCGGAAATTGTTTGACAAATCCATGGTCATCTAAGCCTCTTCTGTTTCTTTGACCTCACCATCTTTAGTGTATGGCTTATAATTTCAAGTTCATTCACAGTGTAAAGTGGCTGCTGGAGAGGCAGCCATTCCTTCTGAGGTCCAGGTAGGAAGAAGAGAGAAAAGCAGAAGGACATTCTAGCTATCTGGAGTTTTTAAGGAGTCTTCCTGGAGGTCCTTCCTAGCAATTTTGATTACATTTCACTGACCATTTCTCATTGCAAGAGAAACTGGAAAGTACAGTTTTTTTTTATCTAGGAACATTAACACCTTGAATAAGGTTAGGATTTTGTTTATCTGCCAGTTATCATTCCAGCCTCATTTCTTAGAGCTCTGCTTCTTGTACCCTATATTCCATTTATATCAGACTACTCACAGTTCCCTGATTATTCATGCTACTTCATTCTTTCATATGTGTTTTCTTTGCACAAAATACCCTTCTGCCCTTTTTGGCCAGGTGAACCCCACTTTTCAAGGATCAACACCTCTTGGAAGCCTTTCTTAATCACCAGCTCAGAATTAATCATTCCTTATTTGGGGATTCCAATTTAATACCTCCACTTTAACATTTCCTATCTGATATTGCAATTATTTTGGTTGAGTAGTATCTTCTCTACTAAATTTTGAAGTATCAGAATGTGGGGACTATGGCTTATTTATCTTGACTGTGCCTGACACATAGTAGACACTTAACAAATGATGTGTTGCAAAAAATCAGCTAAGTGTATAACTTAAAAATAAGAGGAATATTATTTTTATAGGCCACATGCAATCAGGAACTGCCTCTAGGAACTATTGATAATGAATATGTAGGGTATATAGACTGTAACATTAAAATGATAGAGAAAGTTCTGAAATTCTGGGTGAATGATTTGAAGATACTTACTGCTTAAGACAGTTAAACAGAATTAGTCCTGACAGCTCTGCTGTATGAATAAATTTTTTAAATGGATTTTTTTTTGGGCAGATTATATTTACCCATCCTCTTAAAAATAAATGTATGACAAAGCAGTTACAACTCTTAACTAGCTTTGTTTCATCTTTGATTTTCTTTCCCAGGGACAGTATGTCCATTGCCTTGTTAAGTTGTACTTCATTATAGAAGTCAAGTTGACTGTGGGAAAAGAGAAAACTTTCATTTAAACTTTTAGGAAGAAAGGCTCTAGTTAGACCCTAGAGCTTCAGATCAGGAAGTCACTCAAAGCTAGCCTAATTTTTTTTTATCCTTTTACCTTGAGGTGTATTCTTCCTTTCTGTTCTTTCTTTCTTTTTAGTGTTCGTTAGATCTTAGAAGTTCTTTGTGAAGAAATAGATCACAAAGAAGTAGAAATCTCCTCTCCTCCACTCTTGTTTTCTAAGGCAAGGTCACTCCGAATTTCTGAAATGGTGCTCTTAGATGTAGTACAGATAGGAATCTGATCTCTCTCAGTTGGGTAGCAGGCCACTTGGTTTTGTTCTGTGTCTTCTCTTTGTTGATTCTGTGCCTTTTCTAAGATGTTATGTTGGAAGTTTTAGTTTCTAGTTTAGCTCTACCTTTGACTGGAGGTGATCCTGTGTAATGGTTTAGTATTTCCAAAGGAGAATGGTATGGTTGACTGTTTTTAGGGCCAACTTTTGTAGTAGTACTTCTTTTCTAAGTACCATTTTTTTTTAGTATTTACATGTCTAACTTGCAGAGATTTGTAAATATTTAAAAGATAGAGAATTCTTCAGGTGTCTATGGAAAAAAAGGCAGTGCACATGTAACACTTAGTATCCATGTGCATGGCAGATTATTTTTTCTCAAAAAGTGACTGTGAGTATCTTATCTCACATGTTGCATACAGTATGACTGATGCTTCTCCCATGAGGAGTGGAATTTATGGTTGCTCCTCTTGAATCAGGGCAGGCTTGTGACATAGCAGCAATAGCAGTCTTGTTATTTCAGCTTTTTATTAGGGATACCAGTGAAATACATGTTGATTTCCTTTGCCTCTTTGTCTAATATTTTTCTCTCTAATCTTCCTCTTTTTTAAACCTTGTTAATGTTCTTACTCTCTTTTCCTCTCTTTTCTCAATTCTGTCCTCTTTCTCTTTCCTGAATAATTTTTGGTTTGGCTAGAAGGCGTTTTGGTAAATATTTTTCTACAATGCTAGAGATCTCAAACTGAGGCCCAGTGGCCCCTCTTTTCTGTTATCAGAAAATGAAATGAGGAGGCGTGAGTTTGTATGGGGCCTGATATATGTCTTTCTAGGATTTCTTTTTTAAAATGTAAACTTTTTCAGTGTGGAATATATTGTGTCTATATGAATACTGAGCACTTAATAAAACTCATATTGGATTTAGTTTTTCGGTAGCCTCTAGATTTGAATTTACAATTTAAAAATTTTACACCTTATTTTACTTTCACACTCTCACCAGAATAACTCCTGAGAAAGTAAAAACTCATTAGCATACTTACCACCCTGGGTATTCTTTCCGCTTCTCTTTCCTACTTTTCATTCGTGTAATACCCCCACCATGCATTCCAGCCTCTCAAACTGTCCTCCAAGCATTCCTAACATTAACTGACCTCTGTGCCATTGCTTACCATCTTCTGATACTTGACTTGTTCTTCATATCTCTCTGTCTTGTACTCATTATTGATTTTCTAGCATAAGAACTGCTCTGTTTTTATGAAGCTTTCCTAGATTCCTCCCCTGTAATATCTTCTGTATTCCCATAGCCACTTGCTTATATCCTGAAGACTATTTATTGCATTCTACTTTGTGTTATTATTATGCTTATTATGCGTTAATTTATTTAACAAACATTTGAATCCCTGGGCCCTACTTCTAGAGACCCTGATGTATTCGTTTGAGGTAGAGCTTGGGCATCAGTATTGTTTAAATGCTCCTCAACTGATTCCAGGGTTA